TCGTCTGTAAGATGGGGATAACGTGTCATATGAGTGGACAGCGGTGTGAGCCCCTCATAGGCTGGGGGATGCTGTGCACAGACAAAGGGTTAACAGTGCAGCTCTGGCCGTGCCTGGCTCACAGAGAGGGTGCGGGGACTGATTTGGAAGAGTTAATGGCCTTAGCCTCTGACAGGTCCACCTTCCAGCTCAGTTACTTGTGTGGGGGTTGGGGTGGATGCTGCTCCTGTTATGCTATCACGTGCTTAAACTGTGAGGCAGTTGAGGCTGCTGGGGGACTCTGAGTTCCATTTTGCCTCACCACAGGGGGCTTTCTGACCTCCCCACCCCCGGGGGTTTCTGATTTCCCCACCCCAGGGGGCTTTCTGACCTCCCCATCACTGAGGATTAGAGAGGCTTGATGGTATTATCCTGCCCCTCCCAATTTATTCTTTACAATCAGAAATTTCTTAAGAAGAGATTCTGTGAAGAGCCCTTTGTAACAGTCTTTTAAGATCTAAGTTCTCCATGCTGCAGATTCATCTTAATTGAGGTGGGGTGGGGTGGGCCGTCCTCAAGGAAAATGAGACAACGGTGTTTGTCCCTCTACTCAGACCCCTCACTCTCAGGTCCACGGTGCCTGGACCAGCCCACTCCCTTCTCAGGGGCTCTCCCTCCTCCCACCCTGGTACCTTGAGCCAAGAGTGGTTTTCAAGACATTGGACACCAGATGATGAAGGACAGTGATCTGTCTCTGAGAGGGGGGATTCCAGTGAGGGGAACCCTCAGAGCTTGCTGTCCAGAGAGGTTTCAGGCCAAAGTGCAGGGATCCCAAGTAGAGCCTGGAATCATCCCTGAGTTGAGGCAGGACCAAGAGCTGGGGAGACCAAGTTGACTGGAGCTGCAAGACTTGGAAGCAGAAAGGAAAGAGCTGGACAGAGTGGGGGCCCTGGAGAACTCTAGAGGGTTCCCACTGGGTATTCAGCTGAGTCCTAATCAGCACATGCATTTGAAGGAAGAACCAACTGAAAGGATTAGAGGAAACCATCAAAATAACAAAATAAGAAAGCTAATAAGTCATGAATGGAGATAAAATGGAATAATGATTAAAAAAATTACTCAATCCAAAAGAAAGCAAAAAAAGATGGAAAAGAAAATAAAGAATAAATGAAAAAAAAAACAGAAAAAAAATAATGAGCTGATAGACTTAAGCCTATGTTGGACTAAGCTTTGAAAATTAATGAATATAATTCATCAAGTTTTTAAAGTTTTTTTTTTTTTAACAAGCTAAAAATGGAAAGGCATATGATCATTTCAATAGACACAGGAAAAGAATTTAACAAAAGTCAATATCAGTTTCTAATAAAAAAAAACTGATAAAATTTTCCAACAAACTAGCAATAGAAGGGAACTAGGTGAGCAAACTCCAGGAGATAGTGAAGGACAGGGAAGCCTGGTGCGCTGCAGTCCATGGGGTCACAAAGAGTTGGACATGGCTGAACAACAACAATGGAAATAGAAAAAACCTATGAAAAACCTACAGATAATATCCTACTTAACAGTGAGAGGCTTACTATCTTTTTAACATAAGGTATAAAACAAGAATGGTTGTTTTCACCACTTCTGTTTAGTGTTTTACCAGAGGTTCTAGCCAGTGAAACAAGACAAGGAAAAGACATAAAAGGTCTCCAGATTGAAAAGGTAGAAGTAAAACTGTCTTTCTTCACAGACAACATGATCATATATGTAGAAAATCTGATTGAATCTACAAAAGCTACTAGAACTAGTGAGTTTAGCAAGGTTTCAGGATACATGATTGCTCTAAAAAACCATAATTTTATTTTTCTACACTAGCAACAATCAGAAATTGAAAGAAAAATACCATTTAAAATAACAAAAAAAATATGCAATACCTAGGGATAAATCTGATAAGAGACATATAAGACCCATACACTGAACCACAAACCACAGATCAGAGAAAGGAGCCCCAAATAACTGGGGAGACAAACCTGGGGAGACATAACTGGGGAGATAATATTAAGATTCAACAATCCTCCAAGTTGATCTATAGATTCAATGTAATCCTATTCAAATTCCCAGTTGGTATTAAAAAACAATTCATGTGCTGATTCTAAATTTAGGGGACCTAGAATATCTAATCAAAGTTGGCGGGCCAACATACCTGATTTCCAGACTTAATATAAAGCTACAATAATCATGGTAGTATGGTATGGCACTGAGGTAGATAAATAGGTCAATGCAACTAAGTCCAGAAAAGGACCCACATATATATGACAACTAATTTTTTTTCTCAAACTGAGAAGAAAATTCAATAGATAAAGGACAGTTTTTTAAATAAGTAATATGGAATTTTGCGCTTCCCTGGTGGTTCACTGGTCAAGAATCCACCTACCAATGCAGGAGATGTGGGTTCTGTCCCTGGGTTGACGAGATCCCTGGAGGAGGAAACGGCAACCCACTCCAGCATTCTTGCCTAGGAAATTCCATGGACACAGGAGGCTACCAGGCTACAGTCCATGGGCTCACAAAAGAGTTGGGACTTGACTAAGGGACTAAACAACAGCAACAACAATACAGAATCCATTGGCTATCCATATGCATAAAAATGAATTTTAATCCATACCTTCTACTATACACAAAAGTGAACTCAAGATGAATCACAGACCTAATGGAATATCTAAAACCTATAAAATGTCTAGAAGAAAGTATAGGAAAAAATCTTGGTGACTTTGGGTCACACTAAATAAATCTTAGATACAGCATGATTTGTGAAGAACACGTTAGTAAACTAGGCTTTATCCAAATGAAAAAGTCTGCTCTTCAAGAGGACACTATGACGAGAATGAAAAGTCAGATCAGTGAGAAGAAAAATATTTGCAAAGCAGGTGTACAATCCAGATCTTATATTCAGAATACATAATGAACTCCCCAAACTCAACAATAAGAAAACAAACCACAAGTCTGTTCTCTATATTTGCATCTCTGTTGAGAGAGTAGCACTGAAACATATATATTACCACGTGTAAAGCAGATAGTGGGAGGTTGCTAGTATAACACAGGGAGCTCAGCCGGGTGCTCTGTGACAACCTAGAGGGGTGGGATGGCAGGTGGCGTGGGAGGAAGGTTCAAGAGGGAGGGGAGATACGTTTACTTAGGGCTGATTCATGTTGTTGCACCACAGAAACCAACACAACATTTTAAAGCAATTATCTTCCAATTAAACATAAAAAAGAAAACAAACCACCCAATAAAAATAGAGGCAAAGATTTGAACAGGCACTTTACCAAAGGAGATGCAGGTGTCAAATAATCACATGAAAGATGTTCAACATCATTCGTCATCAGGGCAATGCAATGGGAACCACAATCAAACACCATTTCACACCTGTTAGAATGGTGAAAATTATAAAGAAGGGTAACACCAAGTGTTGGTGAGGATATAGAACTGTGATCCTCACACACGGCTGGTGGGAATGTGAAATGATGCAGCCATCTTTGGAAGAGGTGAGAGGAAGAGATTAAAGGGGCACCAGGAAAGTTTCGGGGGTAATGGATGTGTTTGGTGTCTTGACTGTAGCGATGATGTCATGGGTGTAAACATGTCAAAACGTAAAACTGCACACTGTAAATACACATAGTTGATTGTGTATGCACTGTACTTTGATAAAGCTGAGTAAAATACTGAGTGTGCAAAAATTCAAGTCAGCTGATCACTATATCATCCTTAGAGTGCAAATGGACTCTCTGTCTCGCAGACGAATTTACCTAAAGACTGGTTTGTATGCTTGCCAATAAAATGAGACTCATTTTATAAAGATGGCCTGGCAAGAAGGCTGCTGTGTGAAGCTGCCTTCTCTGTGGTTACAACACTCTGGTGAGAGAGAGAGAGCAAGGCTGACTCCACTTTCTCTGTCCCCTCCCACGGAGAAACGCATCGAGCACTCGCAGACCCAGGACAGTCACTCCCTGGGGACCCTGTCATGCATCACCCAGGGACACACGAAGAGGACCGCTGATGGAAAGCTAGTGAGCGGGGCCCACCCTGTCCTCCCCACACAGCTCCTGTGGCCTGCAGTGAATGACTTCCGGGACACACTCCCTGGACAGGTCAAGCTCCATGTGGTCCACTTCCGAGCCAAGCGTGGGCTTGGGGCAAAAACAACACTAAATTTCCAGGGGTTGGCTCGGGAAGACCTCAGACTCCCCCCAGCCAACAGCTTTACTTCTGCTTCCGCCCTGTAGACAGGCTTGGCCATCCTTGTGCACTTGGCAGCGTAAGATCCAGGAGCCTGGAGGAGAAGCCCCTGGAAGCCAGGATGCAAGTACACGGCACAGCTGCATGTCCTCACTTTGCTCACAACAAATACACCCTACCTTTATAATAATTTACTCCCCTCCCCAAAGGAAAACTCTGCGACGAGTCTACAAAGGAGAGCACCTGCAGGTGGGCAGAACACGAGGACCCAGGGCTCAGGTCAGAAATGTCCAACGCCCTCTGCTCCCCACCCCTCCACCATGGGGGTTGGCTTTGGGAACTGAGCTCCTTCCCCGAGGAGACCAGGACACAGAAGGGAGTTGAACCACCCTGGACCAGTGAGCCCGAGCTGCCCGTGGTTCTGAAGACCATGCAGTCTGGGGATGCACACCTGGGCTCTGAGTACCTAGAGTGGGAGAAGGGGAGGTGAGGGAAGGGACCAGGGAGGAAGCAGCACAGATTCCCGGGCCACGAGGAACTGCTAAGCAGTGTCGCCTTTAAACAAACTCCTGTCCTCTCATGTCCCTCCTGGCTCCCCAGGCCTGCCTTCCTAGTATATTTTGGGCTGGCCCATCCTGGGAAGAAAGTTAAATAAGCCACCCCCACTTCGGCCCCACCAAACCCCTCCTTCCAGCAAATAGGAAACTCAGAGCCCCCAGCATCCTCTGTCAGCAGCCCCCAAGATATTCAACATGCGCATATCTGTCCCAAACTATTCAGGGGGAAAAAAGAGAAAGTCTTTATACCTTTTATTCAGCCAATTTTTCCCGAGGCACTGTGGGCTCTCTAAGAAAAAGAAAAAGAGAGAAAGAAAGAAAGGGGAGAGAATTAGAATCAATGTCGCCATCGTACATCTGGTTGCTAGCTGCGATTTGCTCATTGACTAGTCAAGTCTGGAAAAGGAGGCATTATCTCCCTGGGAGGCCGAGGAAACCTGCCCAGGTTAAACTCTCGCGGCTGTCTGTGCGGCCGGCGGGGCCGGGAGTCAGCATTTGATTTAACAGGCAGAGACAAAGGGAAACAGAGAACACCGTGGGCCTGCCATACAGATTTTCCAAACTCATGTTTCCCTGCAACTCTGGGGTGTTCCTTTGTGTTTTCTCTCTTTCTTCCCTTTCCCCCAAACTCTGAGGCACCTCTTCCTCTTCTTCTCCACCCCCACCTGGTTTTGAGGTTACCTTCAAAGGGGACTTTGTGAATTGTGGACCCCGCCTCCCCAGATGCCTCTTTGTGTGGAGTCATGGCTTGCCCATCTATTTTAATAGTAGTCAAAGGAGAATCCAAGGAGAAGTGGACGGGCTGCTGCTGTTGCTTAAAGAGAAGTAAGACAGTTCTAAATCCCAGCAAACACATGATTTCAGAAGCCACCGTTGTGTCTTGTTTGGAATTAGGCGCCGCTTCCAGGAGCCTCCATCGGCAGGAGCAGCTTGGAGCTGGGTGGCAGGGGCCAGGTATTAGCTCCTTTTATAATCTAGGAACCTGGGATGTGAGAGATCAAGGGACCCGCTTAGAGTTGCAAAGCTGATTCCTGGGGGCCTGGGGACTGCACATGTGTGTCTGGACTCCTAATCCTGCCCTTTTCTCATTGGGCACTTTGAAGATTAGAAACAAGAGTGCATGTGCGTGCATGAATGTGTGTGTTTTCTCTGGACTTAAATTTTCCTTATTGATTTTAGTAATGTTTCATAATTGTATATGTACATATCTTGCACACCTATGTGATAAAATACATGTAACATAACATTTTACCATTTTAACCATTTTAAAGTGGACAGTTCAGTGGTATTAACTACATTCACATTGTTGTACACACTATATCTGGTTCTAGAACTTTTTCATCACTCTGAAAGGAAACCACATACTCACTAAGAAGTCACTCCTCATCCCCCTATCCCCACCGTGTGTGTACTTAAAAAAAACAAAAACAAAAACACAACAACTTAACATAAATATGTTAAAAACAACTGAAAAGCTTCTGGAATCAAAAGGTAGTCAACTGGGCCTCTTTCTTACAATGCAGAAAATCACCATCATTACCATCATCAATATCACCAGGAATGGTGTTAAAAAGATGAAAAAGAAAAGAAAAAGAAATCACCAGGAAGAACAGGGAGCGGCTGTCACTTATTCTGCACATTTTATGTGCCAGCTGCAGGCACCATTCTTACCACCCCCATTTTTCAGATGAAAAAACTGAGGTGCACTTTGGTTAAGCAACTGCACCACCAGTAACTGGGGCGACTGGGTTTCCCCATCAGGTTTCCACTGTGCTGCACTCCCACACGTGGAAAGAGGCACCCTTCTCCGCAGGAAATAAGAATTAAACGTGGAAGGGGAACATGTAATGCACGGAATTTGCTTGGCGCATGTTAAAAGTTTGTGCGAATCACAAGGCACTATTTCATGGGAAACCTGCTCCCACTCGCCCCCCCACACCCCACGCACACAGATACCAGCCACAGCAGGGACGGCTGGGGGCCCAAGTGCGGCTGGACTTGAGCCACAAACAAAGACGCCATCACGGATGTGGCCCCCCCCAACAGCCCTGTTTGTTGATTGGCATCGCTCCCACCCCCAGCCAACTGGCAAAAGCAGCTATTCTGGCACGTGTCCACACGCAGCTCACAAAGTGACTGGATGAGATTGGAAGACACCGTCGAATGAAGGCGTCATTACAAAATGAGATGGATTGAATCAATCAACTTGCATCAACCGCTGCCTTCAGTTGATTTGGGGGATTTTCTTATTGTTGACTCTTTTCTTTTTTTTTTCTTAAAGTGAGTTTTCCTCCCAGTTCAATTCAATTTCGTTCCATTTAATTCAATCCATCCAGCCTCAGTGAGCAGACATAAGCACTGGCTGGAGCACGGGTCTGGGCCAAGCCTGTGGGAGTCAGATAGGAGGAGTCTGCTCTGCCGGGCAGGCGGCCGCAGGGCAGGAGAATGCAGGCTGGTCCTGGATGTGAGACAGGGCACTTCCTCCCTCCCTGTCCTAGTCTCTCCTCTACCCAGACAACTTCCATGACCACCATCCTTTATCCACTGTGTCCAACCCACAGATTTCCTCTAGGCACCAGGGAATCTGCTGGCCCGGAATTCCCAATCTCTGGGGAACGTCAGCCCGGATCAGGGTTGGCAAGGCAGCCCACCCTAACCCCACCAGCCTCCACTGGTCCTAAGGTCTTGAGTCACTCCTTGAAAGTATCTCCTTTATCAGCTGATCCACCAGGGAAGCCCAGTGCTTCCCATGGTTACCAGGGGCCTCATTCGGCCAAAGAGAAATATCTGATACCTATGCTATTTGAGGGGCTTCCCTATAGCTCAGACAGTGAAGAATCTGCCTGCACTACGGAGAACCAGGGTTCGATCCCTGGGTCGGGAAGATCACCTGGAGAAGGAAATGGCTACCCACTCTAGTATTCTTGCCTGGAGAATCCCATGGACAGAGGAGCCTGGTGGGCGACAGTCCATGGGGTCGCAAAGAGTCAGACATGAGTGAGCAGCTAACACTTTCATGCCATTTGAATCCAGGGCTTACACTGATTCAGTCCACGTCAGGAGACTCAGAGGCTGGGGCCCATGTCCATCTCCTCTGTACTTTGAAAGACCCAGAGGGACGGTTGGGAGGCCCTGCTGAGCCTGATGCCTCACACGAGGGTCCAGCCTGTTCTCCTAGCAATTCAGGCTGGGCTTCCTACAGAGTTTCCAAGGTAATGAAGGTTTTCCCTGTGTCTCCCTGGAGGTTATTGCTACCTGGAAGGAAAGGAAGTGGGCTCCATGCAGACCCATCCCCGCTGTGGCCCAGTCGCCCTCCCGGAGTGAGCAGACAGGGATGGACTGACTCCGATGGGGCTTGCCTCGCATTCTGAGATGAACACTGGCTTCTCCTTTCCTTTTCCACATCCCAGCATTTTCTACCTTCACTCTCTCACCTCACCCACCTGTTCCACCGCCCCATCTGGGAGAGGCGGGGGGGAGGAGCCTGGGGCTCACCCTGCTCCACGGGCCTTGCTGACAGCATCTACCCGCGGGCATGCCGGTGGGTCAGGAACCATGGGGCTGCCTCTCAGCCTCACAGTTAGCAAACACTGCTCTCAGCCACCCAGCGGGATAATCAATTATGGAGATTTTTGCCACCATGATCAGGTTCGTGGAGAAGCACAGCTTATTAGACCAGGGGTGCTGAAGTTCCCAAGCACAGCCGTGGAAAGACTCAAGCAAAATCCAAACAGAGTAAGATGCATTTACCAAGCTCAGGGGGTCTCCGCCCAGCCCAGCCTGCAGTGCTACGGCCTCTGCGTGAAGTCTGCTAAGCTACAAACTGTGGACTTCCTTGATGGCAAGGAGTTATGCAGAGCTGAGCTGCCCTCCATTTGTCGGGGCAGGAAGTCCCCTCCTTGTGGCACCCACTCACTAGGCTGTGACCCCACCCCCACCCCACAGAGGCCATATCTCAGAGGCCCCAGAGCCTGGCACAGGGCCAATACAGACAGATGGAGGCAGTGGATGTTCGATGAAGGAATGAATGAATGAACCAGCAGGCAAGTGTCTGCCATGAGGGATCATGACCAGATGACCATTTTGAGAAGCAGGCCTGAGTCCTTCTAGAGTGATGTTTGTTCCTGGGGATTCCATCATAAAGGGATACTCACCCCCGTGGGGACCATTCCTCATGGTCTCCCTGCTCAGTTCTCCTTCACCCCAGATTCCATTAGTTCACAGCTTAACCTGCCACCCTCACCCCTGTCCCCCTGCAAAGCCAAGTTCCTCTTGGACTTTTCTCTACAATTCTCCTTAACAGCATTAGAATCTGCCTTTATTCGACTCCATCCAAATGACAGAGGTCATCCCCTTTAACCTGTGTTCTCTGCTGTTGGTAAAGCAATGGAGTTTTTTTAAAGAAATTAACTTACTTGTATCATCTTTGGGATGAAAAGAATACATGTCCTGCACCCCTATGTTCTATAACAGTCCTATTTGCAATAGCCAAGACATGAAAACAAATTAAATGTCCATCAACAGATGGATAAAGAGGATGTGGTACACACACACACTGGAATATTACTCACCCATAAAAGATATGAAATAATGCCATTTGCAACAATGCAGATGGACCTAGAGATTATCATATGAAGTAAGTCAGACAAAGGAAGAGAAATACCATATAATATCACGTACCTGTGGAATTTAAAACATGATACAAATGAACATACCCATGAAACAGATTCACAGACAAAGAGAACAGACTTGTAGTTGCCAAGAGGGTGAGATGGAGGAGGGAAGGATTGGGAGCTTGGGATTAGCAGATGCAAACTAGAGTATCTAGGATGGATAAATAATAAAGTTCTACTATATAGCACAAGGAATATAGCATAGGACTATATTCAATGTCCTATGACAAACCAGAATGGAAGAGTATATGAAAAAGAATATATATGTATAACTGAGTCACTTTGCCGTACAGCAGAAATTAACACAACACTGTAAACCAACTACACTTCAATAAACATTTGTTTTAAACCCATTGTTAGTGTGCATCATGCAATACGACCTGCCAGGAAAGATTCCCTTCCGCTGTGGTCCAGACCGACTCATGGGTGGCTCTCCCATGGTGCAACCTGGACCTTCTCCCTCCCGCCCCAGCCAGGTGCCAAGTCTCTGGACTATGGGGCAGGAGTAGAAAGGTGTAGAGAGAGCAGAACACCTAATTATGACTGATCGTCACTTCACCAGTAGTCATCTTGGCTCTTATTTATCAAGCATTTATCATGTGCCAGACACTGAATA